ATTAATTTCTGAAATTTATCTCAGAAATTCAGATTTTTTTCTTGCAAATTTAATACTTTTCGAGCTCAGATAATTTCCTTGTTTTTTTCTGGAAAGCTTCTTAAATTAATCTCAAAATTTCTGAGTTTTTTTTGGCGGAGATTTGCTCCTTTTTTTTCTATCTGCAAAGTGGCTGTAATTCACCGTCGTGTGAAATGCTGTTTTTGTGTTTTGTGCACAGGTTGGCCCAAGGTGCTATGGTTTGTCGCGGAGTCCAAATATCTGTCCAAACCTCCCCGAGACTGGTTCCCACAGATCAATGATGCCAACCAGGACACTGCCTACATCGAGGCAAGCACAACTTTTCCTTTTTGTCCAGTTTTGGCCGTCTGATCGATGCAGATTATCTAATCTGAGAGGATGTTTTATCTGCAGGTCAGAGCTGTTATCAGCAGGGATGATTGATTTCATTTAAAGTGACGTTTCTTTTTTTAGCAGCTGGACACAAAGTGATTGCATTTTAAATTGGAAAAGACAAAAACGATTAAAAAGGAGGGATGATTGAAAATAATAACCTCCTTTTTTAACAGAAGCAACATTTCTGACAGTTCAGACAAATAAAATTACCTCAGCTTTTCATGCTTTTCTTTTTTTTTATCCCAACTCAGAGGTTAGTGTGACCTGTCAGGTTTTATTTTGAAAGGGCTCTTATGGATTACTGTGACCTCACAGCACTCAGATATTTGATTATTTAATCTGAGGATATCTTTGTTTCTTTATGGTGAGGCAGTGACAGGTTGTTCAAAATGTCTTCATTAAATATTTAAATGTATTTATGATTAAAAAAACTAATTTGTCTGAAATAGAAATAGACAAATGAAATGATGTCAGACGTCCAGATAAAAAGCCAAATACATAAGTTTGTAGTTGGATTTTGTTTTTTTTTTACATTTTTCATGGATAAACTTCTTTTTAAGTGATTATTTCCTGGAAGATCAGAAATGAAAATTAATAAATAGAAACAAAGAGTCTAAAATACAAGTAAAAAGACGAATATATAGAATAAAATTTAAAAAATAGATAAAAGAAAACTTTAAAGATTTTAATGAAAAAAATTTGTAAGCAAAAAAAAAATATATATATATATAGCTCTTATTGATTGAACTTTTAAATCTGAACTGTTTTTTTATGTTAATTAGGATTTAATAAACATAAAAATATTAATATTTTGAGCATAGGCAGTTAGTCTTATTTTTTTTACACCTTTTCAACATTTTAGAGCTGATTTTATAGCTTTGAGTTTGTAAATTTTGATATATTTTTTCTAAACTAAATTTAATCTTTGATCCTGCTGGTGGTCTTCAGTACAAGACGTGTAAAGATGGCGGCGTGCTGGGCGTGACGGTGACGAGGGTGGCGATGCTCACACACTGCCAGACCCTCACGCAGTCCTGCTCGTACACAGAAGGTAAAACCTGTTCAACGGGTACGGGTGCTGGTCTGAGGTCCACAACCGGACCTTATCTGGACCAGTCGAAAGCCTGACTGAAGCGTGTGTTTGTGTTTGCAGCTGAGACCGTGGTGAATGTTTTGGACTTCAAGAAGGACGTGGGGCTGTGGCACGCCGTCCTGACTGTAAGACCTGCCTAYCTTAGAGTAATTAATAAAAAAATAAACGATCTGTAAGCACTTCTCCCCGTTCTGCTCGTCAGAGTGTGATGAACATGATGCATGTCGTCAGTATTCCCTACGCCCTGATGAAGGTGAACCCTCTGTCCTGGATCCAGAAGGTCTGCCAGTTCAAAGGTAACCAAATCAGAAAAGTGCTGAAAAAGGAGAGAATTTGTTTTAGTTTTAGTTTTAAAAATGAACCGTTTGAATGTTTCATCTGCAGCGAGGGTGGCCTGTGTGAAGTCCCGGGACATGCACTGGGCTCTGGTGGCTCATCGGGACCAGAGAGACGTGAACCTGAGCTCCCTGCGCATGCTGGTGGTGGCCGACGGGTCGAACCCATGTAGGGGAACCTTTCCTGGGTTATAGCTTGATCCTTGCTTTTCTTATTCAGATATTTCATGTAGAAATCTCTCTTACACAGAGAAAGAAAAGTTTTCTGTAGTAGTTTAGCTGCAGAAACACTCCAGAGGTTTTCATTAGAACGATGACTCTTCTCTGAGAGTTAACTTTACATTGAAGTAATTCATTACAAGCCAACTTTTACAGACTCCAGCTAATAAAAAGCCTGACTTAAATGAGCTGCACTTGTTCTTTGTTTTTTTGCAGTCAGCTCGTTAAAAACGTCCTAACCGCTAATTAAATATGGAAAGTTAAGATTGCATGGTGGTCCCACTGCACAGTTTTCTGTCACAGGATGACTTGTTTTCAAAGTAAAACTGTAAGTTTTTCTGTCTCTTAGGGTCGATCTCGTCCTGCGACGCCTTCCTCAACGTCTTCCAGACGAAAGGTTTGAAGCCGGAGGTGATCTGTCCGTGTGCCAGCTCCACCGAGGCTCTGACCGTCGCCATCCGGAGGTACACTGCCTCCAATCAATCAGGGATAAACAGCTGTAACCTCTTTTATTTTCGCTGTTAAATATTGTTAGGACCTATTCAGACACTTATTTATATTTTATTCAAAATGCTCTATATTCTTACCTGCCTTCATCGTCTCGCTGTTTGCACCGTTTAAAGTTTTGTGGTTTGAACACTAAACTTCCTCCTCCTTCATCCTTTCAGTTTTTACCACTTCAACAGCTGAGCTCCACATGATGTCGTCTGTAATTTCTGTTAAAGTTAAGATAAAGGAGAACTTTGCTCATTTTAGAGCTTCAGAACTCCACGACACGTGTTTGTATTTTTGTTTTATTGGAATGCAGCAGGTTCAAACTCCTTAGGCTGAACTCGGGCCTTCAGCTGCCTTCAGACCTCACTTTAAAAAAAAAGAGCTCTACTATTAAATAAAAGTTGATAAATTCATTTTATTTGAAGTTTATCTAGAAGGTTTTGCAGCCGGTCCACTGTCTGCTCCTTCATGTGTGATGGACGTGTCCCCCTCCGTCCTGCAGGCCGACGGAGGAGGGCAGCACCCCTCCGAACCGCGGCGTGTTGTCCATGCAGGGTCTGAGCCACGGTGTGATCCGGGTGGACTCTGAGGAGAAGCTGTCGGTCCTCACGCTGCAGGACGTTGGTTCTGTCATGCCTGGAGGTAAAACAAACACAAACAGTTTCATCCTGACTCACTAGTTTCTCTTCTGGATTAGTTTTTTTTAACACCAGATTGTCTTTTTTCCAACCATTTAACTTAGAAAACCAACAAAAGTTACATTTTATGAAGTAAAATTGTTTTATTTTATCGTTTTTGACCTATCTTTACTATTTCTGTTTCTGTTGGTTGGTATTTATTAATATTTTTAACACCAGAATWATTTTTTGTTAGTATTTAGTCAATTGTTTTACTGTCAAACTATATTTTTGTCTCAGGAAAGATCAGTTCTGCACGTCTCAACCTTCAGGTTTTCTTCCTGCAGGTATGATGTGTGTAGTAAAACTCGAAGGCGTCCCTCAGCTCTGTAAAACTGATGAGATTGGAGAGTTGTGTGTTTGCACTGTTGCTACTGGATCCTCTTATTATGGGCTGGCAGGAATGACCAAAAACACTTTTGAGGTAAAATCCTTTTTATTTCTTATTTTCTTCCTGTTTTTGTTGATCTTTCTCTCAAACACGTTCGTATCTAAAAGGTCTTCCCCGTGTCCAACAACGGGACTCCCGTCAGCGAGTTCCCCTTCACCAGGACCGGCCTGCTGGGGTTCATCGGACCCGCGGGTCTGATCTTCGTCGCGGGGAAGATGGACGGTCTGATGGTGGTGGGGGGGCGCCGTCACAACGCGGACGACATRGTTGCCACAGCGCTGGCTGTGGAGCCCATGAAGTTTGTCTACAGAGGCAGGTACGTGTTTGCCGTCGACCCGAGGAACCTGAACAACACGAGGAAGGATCCACAGCGCAGTCATGGTGCTCGAAACACTCTGTTTTCTGCAGGATAGCCGTGTTTTCCATCACGGTGCTGCACGATGAGAGGATCGTGGTCGTGGCTGAGCAGAGACCAGACTCCACTGAGGAGGACAGCTTCCAGTGGATGAGCAGAGTCCTGCAGGTAAATTTTATTCAGTTTAGTCTTTTCACAAAGAGCTTTCTGAAAAGTTAAAGGGACATATCTGCAGGATCTATTTTTTTAGCTGTTACATACATTTTGTTGTGTCTGGGTCAGTGTGCTTTTTGGTCATTCGATTTTACTTTTAAAAACAATGAAAAACAAAAAAACAGATGTTTTTTTGTTTTTGTTTTTCATTTTCAAAACAGATACTGAAAAATCAAAAAACGGATTGTTTTATTTTTTTGTTTTGTTTCGTTTTTCATTTAAAAAAAACTAATTGCAAAAACGAAAAACGGATGGTTTTCATTTTTTTTTTTAATTTTCTATCCCAAAAACAGAAAACAGACCAGTCTTTTCATTTTTTGCCGAACCAGAAGTTTACCATGGTTATCATGGCAACTCAGCCGTTCTGCTCATTTAAATTTTTTGCTTGCTCTCGTCACTTTTAACAGATTTCAACATTATTAGGTTGGCTTTACAACCAAATTCTGAAGAAATTGTGTTTATGGCGAGAAATGGATAGTCTTCTACGGTAATCTCTGCGGCTATTTCACATCGTTATGGAGAGGAAAGGGGCGTTCTCCGCGAGGAGCATCAGTAGATTTTGTTCAGAAAACGCTGATGCACATCTAGTTTTAAATTGAAAAATTCGACTAAGTTTGTCTGCAGTCATGTCTTCTCTCTGACACAAGATTTGCTGTTACATTAAACAACAAACAGCTCCACTCTACTTCACACAAAGTGGATGGGAAAGCTTCTTTGAAAAAAAAAAAAGTAGTTCCAGTATGGCAAAAACAAAAAGACAGTCCGTTTTCCCGTTTTTGGAGTCTAAAATTAAAAAAAAGAAAAACCATCCATTTTTCATTTTACCAAAAGTTTTTAAAACGAAAAACGAATAACAATACAGTTTTTGTTTTTCATTGTTTTTCAAAGAAAAATCGAATGACTAAAAAGTACACTGACTGTGTCTCTAGGATGGGTGCTGTGTAGACATCTTTATATTCTGTTTYAGTCATATTTATCAACCTGTTCAGTTTTTTCTATTTTCTACGTTTTCTTAACTYTTACATCAAATTATGTGACAGAACTTCTAAAAAAAAGGTCTGGAGAAATTATAATTTGCTTTTCTATGTAGAAAAAACATAAAACCTTTTGTACAGCTAACAGAAAAACACAAAACCAGACTGAGAATCCAGCAGAATTCATGTTGACAACCAAAGTTTTTGCGACTGATGAGGCAAAACTGGAGCTTTTGGCTCAAGTATCTGTCTGTATTTTATCTACAGCTAAATCAAACACTAGACATTTTGTTATACCACATTACTCATATATACGTGCTCCTATGCTACGCTTCCATATGTTGCCTGGGCAGATGAAATCTGGGCCGATGTGGAGACTGTGGCGAAGCCATAAAAGCTGTCTGGAGTTTTAACGGCTGCAGTAAAAGCATTTCACTTTATTCCTTTACCATCACAGATACCGCCTGCTTGTTTTTTCCATTTCACTCTCTGGTTYCAGACAGTCAGCAGGTTTGGGATCTTAATGTTACTGTAAATGTTCTGACTGAAACAAATCCAGTAATGACGCAACAGTGCTTAAATCCTTTGARCACATTTCTCCATATTCAAAACCCTTTTCCAGGCGATAGACAGTATCCACCAGGTGGGGGTGTACTGCCTGGCTCTGGTGCCCTCCAACACTCTGCCAAAAACTCCCCTGGGTGGCATCCACCTCTCCGAGACCAAGCAGTTGTTTCTGGAGGGGGCGCTGCACCCCTGCAATGTACTCATGTGTCCACACACCTGTGTCACCAACCTGCCCAAACCCCGGCAGAAACAACCAGGTACGGCAGAAACAACCAGGTACTGCAGAAACAACCAGGTACGGCAGAAGCATGAATCTGCAAAAGGAAGTTATTGTTTTTCTGGTCACAATAAAAAGTTTTTAAATTGTCAGAAATTATTGCAATAAACAATAATATTGTTCGGAGACAAAGTTTACAGAGGTTTACAAAATTTATGTAAGTGGAGTTTGTGAAAACAAGACACAACAACAGCTGCTTTAGCTGTAACATCARTACACACCTCTTCAATCCAACACAAGTTATTCTGTACGTGTCTTCCTCTGGCTTCATAAAATAATGGAAGTCACCAGCACCCTGGTTACAAAATTTATGGAACTTGGTGAAATTTATGGATGTTGACAAAATTTTGGGAAATTGACAAATTGTATGGAAGTTTATGAAATACATTAAAGTTGACAAAATTTTGGGAAATTGACAAAAATCTATGGAAGTTTATGAAATATATTAAAGTTGAAAAATTTGTGGAAGTTGACTAAATTTATAAAAATTGACAAAATTTATGGAAGTCGATGAAATTTATYGAAATTGACAAAATTTTGGGAAGTTGACAAAATCTATGGAAGTTGATGATATTTATAAAAATTGACGACATTTATGGAAGTTCACAAAATTTTGGGAAGTTGACAAATTGTATGGAYGTTGATGAAATGTACTAAAGTTGACAAAATTTGTGGAAGTTGACAAAATTTATTAAAGTTGACAAATTTTATGGAAGTTGATGAAATTTTAAAAAGTTGAAGAAATTTATGGAAATTGACAYAATTTTGGGAAGTTGACAAAATCTATGGAAGTTGATGATATTTATAAAAATTGACGACATTTATGGAAGTTCACAAAATTTTGGGAAGTTGACAAATTGTATGGAYGTTGATGAAATGTACTAAAGTTGACAAAATTTGTGGAAGTTGACAAAATTTATTAAAGTTGACAAATTTTATGGAAGTTGATGAAATTTTAAAAAGTTGAAGAAATTTATGGAAGTTGACAAAATTTATGACAGTTGATGAAATTTATGGAAGTTGATGCCATGAGTCTGGAAAATACCTGAGTTCACTCCTCCCTACACTGAGGAGACCTCAGTGCCGACACAAAGATTCGGCGCAGTCCGCTGGCTTCTTTAGATTTATTGTTTGTTTGTTTTTTGTGTACAGTACCCTGAGACAACAGTTGTTGTAATTTGATACTATATAAATAAATTGAATTGAAATGAAAAAAGAGGGAGACACAAAGAAAACAAACAAGTGGGAAAATGAAAATAGACAGCATTTGAATTTATTATGTGATTAATTGATGTATTTCTTATTGCGACAGGCCTAGTTATTGTACTATAAAAACTCAATAATTAAAGTATTAGTACTCTTTATTACCCAGCCTGACCAACAGAGGGGTCATGAAGCCTGATGGCAGAACAACAGAAGATGTTTGAGTCTCAGTGTCAGTAGCTCCTGGAGACAGACCTCATCCTCGTTTCCTCTCTTCCTCCAGAGATCGGTCCCGCCTCTGTGATGGTCGGGAACCTGGTTTCAGGGAAGAGGATCGCTCAGGCCAGCGGCAGGGATCTGGGTCAGATCGAAGACAATGACCAGGCAAGGAAGGTGTGTGTGTGAGGGCGGTCTGCTGGTTTTCATCACACACACTTTTACATCATCTTTAACTCCATTTAGTTTTTATTTTGATCACTTTTACAGTTTGCATCCAGTTGATGATGTTGTTTATATTTCATGTTTGTTTATTGCATTTACTGGGTTAAAGGAAAAATTTAAATGTTCATTATTTTACTAATTTATTCTTCATTTCTGCTGCTTCATTCAGAAACTCTTTGTCCTTCCCACTGATCCATCGTTTCTTTCTCCACCTCCATCCTGTGCAAACCAGGCCCTCTGTGTGGATGAGCTTCTCTTTTTTAATGTGAATTTGTTTTCTTTAAACGTTGCGATTCCTTCATTAAGAACATTGATTTTTAAGTTTCAGTGAGGACTGAGTGCTCCTGCTGAGGTCAGAGCTTCACTGCTTTTCTAATGAGCTCAGAGAAAATGATTTTCCTTTAGCGTTTGGCTGAAGTTGAAGGAAAAAACTAAACATATGTTGAATAGAGATGTCAAAATTTAACTTTACTTTTTTGAGCCATCTGAAGCTGGAAAATATATAAAAACAGCTTATTTAATCAAGACTTTGTCATTTTTTGTCCTGACAGAATTAGAAAACTCCTCACTCACAGCGAGGCATTGATCTGAAGTTTTTACATTAATTCCAGGGAAAATCAAGCGTTTAGTCTCAACAGTTAAATTGTATCTTGAGAAACTCCCTTTTTTTAGTTTTCAGTTATAAAAAAAAGTTAAAGATGTGTTTGAACTGGTCCGTTTAAACATTAGAAACGTGTTTTCACCCGTCAGGCTCCAGGTTTCATCATAATCATCATCAAATATGATGACTTTAGGTTTTACTGAAGTACCAAAGAAATCCAACAGAACTCCGATAAAACTCTGGATTTTTATCTTCAGCCTGGAATTTAAAGGGAACACGACCTTCCTGCAGACACACACAGGAGGTCTTTGTGTTTGTGTTTAACATTCTCGTCCTCCGTCACAGAGATAACACAAACGTCATCTGCAGGCAGCTCTTAGCTGTGGCTCTTAAATCTAACATAAAAAAAAAACACTTTAAACTCTTTAAATCTGGTTCTCCTGGTGGGTGTAAGGGTAAAGTAGCAATGTAGCTAAATGCTATGTGAAAGCTAAAAGACTAGCTTGAAGCTTAAAGTAGTCAAAGGCCAGCTAAGAGCTAAAATGATCAAAATGTCAGCTAAAAGCTGCGAAAAGTTTGCCAAAGGTGGCACAGGCTAACTAAAAGCTAAAAACAAAATGATAGCAGCAGAAGGCTTAATATATGTCAAATGTTGCTAAATGTTATGTGAAAGCTAAAAGGCTAGAAGGCTAGCTAAAAGCAAAGAATAGTCAAAGGCTAGTTAAGAGCTAAAATCATCAAAATGTCAGCTGAAAGCTGCAAAAAGTTTACTAAAGGTGGCACAGACTAAGTAAAAGCTAAAAACAAAATGATAGTAGCAGAAGGCTTAATAAATGCCAAATGCAGCTAAATGCTATGTGAAAGCTAAAAGGCTAGCTGGAAGCTTAATGTAGTCAAAGGCCAGCTAAGAGCTAAAATGATCAAAATGTCAGCTAAAAGCTGCAAAATATTTGCTAAAGGTGGCACAGGCTAACTAAAAGCTAAAAACAAAATGATAGTAGCAGAAGGCTTAATAAATGCCAAATGCAGCTAAATGCTATGTGAAAGCTAAAAGACTAGCTGGAAGCTTAATGTAGTTAAAGGCCAGCTAAGAGCTAAAATGATCAAAATATCAGCTAAAAGCAGCAAATGTTTGCTAAAGATGGTAAAGGCTAACTAAAAGGTAAAAACAGAATGACAGATGAAAGTAGCCGAAGGTGAGCTAAAAGCTAAAAGTAGCTAAATCGGAGCCAACTCTGAAACATTTTTGGAGGATTTGAAGACATCTTTGTGTTTTGCCGTGGAGGAAATACAGTATTGTAACAGAAGTTAAATATTCTGAAAAGTCGTAGCAGGCAGCTCATAAAACAGCTGAACCTTTTGACATAGTGAAGGACTAAAAAAAACTAGTTTGCTGACTCAGCATTTACACTAGTGGCACTTCTCAGCTTCTGTTGACATTAATGRTGTTTCCTGCAGATCTGTGTTCAGATCCTGATCTGAGTGGAGAGATTTTCCTCTCTCTGGTTTTTAATCCTCGTTTTCACCGTTTGTGTTTGTTTAGTTCCTCTTCCTGTCCGAGGTGCTGCAGTGGAGAGCTCAGAGTACTCCTGACCACGTCCTGTACACACTGCTCAACTCCAGGGTAAAACCTACACACACACACACACACACACACACACACACAGAGATATTGATTTATTGTGTTTGCTCAACTTCAGATGTAGCTAAAAGCTCTTGAAATATACAAAACTTCAAAGAACGTGCAACAAATTGATGTCTTATTGGCGTGTGTGTGTGTGTGTGTGTGTGTGTGTGTGTGTGTGTGTG